TAGAAAATTAAAGCTTACCAAGTATTTTAAATCTCTATTCACCATGGGAAGCTATTTGGATTTGATGCATATGCTAATGTGATGAATGGCTTTTTAAGGAATTGCAAGAATGGATGTAATTGACTATAAATTCTTATAGTGGGTTTATGTTTGTTCCACTAGATTTTGTTTATTTGTAATATTAAATGTACCACATGAAATAAGGAAAATATACATACACAGAAATGAAATTTATTTTTTTAAAGCAGCTTACAAAAATTAAAACTTACATATTGGTTTGCATTTTAGGCCGTTATGTTTTTGATAAATATTACTTGTATTGACTGTAATTGTTGATTTGCCTGAGTTTCAATGGTCATATTGCTATCATTTTTTATTAAATATTTCTGAAGAACATAATAAAAGAATTGAACAAATAGTAAGAAGTGTCATGTCCTTGCATGAGTACTCATTATCATAAAGATGTGATTTCTCCCTAAATTTACCATAATTCTGATAAAAATGTGAGCAGGATTATTACTTCTTTTTGTGTAACTAGGCAAGCTAATTTTAATTTATCTAGGGAAAGAGCAAACAAGAATAGATTATTTCTTTTAGGATAGAATAGTAAGTGTGTCCAAATAATGAAATTGTTGGATATGGTATGATGAGGGAGGTGTGGCCAAAGGAAAATATTAAAATGAGGTTTGGAATGAAATTTATTTACCTTTAATTTGCTTGAAAGGGATAACAAGAACAGGGGAAGGCAAGAATAAAGAAGAATTCTAGGCCATGGACTTTACTGAGATTTTTGTGGGAAAGTAGGGGAAAACAGAGGAAATAGTTTAAAATGATTAGTTTGAGTAATTCTGGCAGGCTTTAGCTATAGACGCAGTCTCTGGTTGCTTGGTACTTCACCCTTTGGTGATTCAGGCTATGGGAAATACACTTGCTGGCTTGTGTGTGAAAACTGGATAAGGTAGCCTGGCCTATAGCTTCTGGATTGTCTAGTTTGCATATGAAAGATTCATTCCCAGTGGTAGAACTCTTTGCCTTCTATAAGCCTTGGCCGATCAGCAGAAGGAAGATCTTTCTGTCTGTCTCTCCTTCTTTTTGTAAATCTACCTTTCCAAAAAATTAAAATTAAAGGACTGGCTGACCCTGAGAGGAAATGTTTAAGACAATTAAGCTTTCTAAGATGTCATATTATAATAAAACATAGAAAACAAACCAAAACAAAAAAACATACAAAGTGGGACTAGTCCTACTAGATATTATAAAGTGTAATTATACTTTAACTAGTATAGGTTGATAGTAGTGTATGAATTTATAGATGGAATTACAGCAATGGAATGGAAATCCCAGAAACCAACGACAAATACCAACATAAGTTATATTATAAAGGTGACACTGAAAATCATGGTAGAAAATGTGTTGTCTATTCAATGAATGTTGTTTGGACAACAGAGTAACTACATGAAAAAAATAAAGTTGGATCCATATTTTCTACTTGTTACCAGCATAAATTAAGTATGGATCAAATATGTAAATATAAAATGCAATGTTCTTGGAGATTAAGAAGCCCTCAGTTCTTTTTTAGCCCTGGCATAGGACAGTGTATGTCTGGGCTGAGGGCCTGGGGAAAGCAGATCTAGATTTCTACTTGTCAGAGAACAAGTCTTTGTGGATTTATATCTCCTTTACTCACTGTGCTGGCAAGGAACAGCCACTTGCCCCCAACAGGAGATAATTGCCCTTGTGGCTGTAGTGGTTCTCTCTCTCTCTCTCTCTCTCTCACTCTCTCTCCCCACTCACACACACACACACACTCACACCTACACATATCCCCATATAACCACATTCAATATCCATAAGCAGCAGCATCTAGCCAAGTGCTCTGTTGCTTATATGGGTTTACAGATAAAAGTGGCCCAGAGCTAAGCCATTACATAACAGGGTTGTGGGCAAATAGCCAAGCAAGTGGACTGGACCAGTTAGGTATCACAGCATTGTGTACCATACAGAGACAGCGACATGGGAGCAACGGCAAAAGACGGACAAACGTGTTGACTTTACTCTCCCAAATTCATCTCTTCAACAGAGAGCTTTTTGCTTTACAAACTAAACTTAAAGGGCAGGTATTTGTCCTAATGGTTATGGTTAACATGTATTGGGTCCCAGATTTGAGTACTTAGGTTTAATTCATGGCTCTGGCTCCATCTTCCTGCTAATACAGATTCTGGGAGTCACAGTGATGACTTAAGTAACCTTTTTCATTTTTTAAATTTTCATTTGGAAATCACATTTTCAGAGAGAAGGGGAGAAACAAAGAGAAAGATATAGAGAGGGGGAGAGATAGAGCTTCCATTCTCTGTTTCATTGTCCAAATGAATGCAATGGCTGGAGTCAGGAAGATCTGAGTTAGAAGCCAGGAACTTTCTCTGAGTCTGCCATGTGGGTGCAGCGACACAAGGACCTGGGCCATCTTCTGCTGCTTTCCCAAGCCACAAACCAGAGATCTGGATTGGAACTGGAGCAGCAGGGACAAGAATTAATGCCCTCTTGGAATGCTGGTGCTTGTAAATGGAGGGTTAGCTTGTTGAGCCACTGTATCAGCCCCAGTGAGCTGATTTTCCAGGCTTGCCATTTTCTTTGTCTCTTTGGCATTTGTCTATATCGCTGTCTAACAGAACTTCCTGCAGTGATGGAAATGCCCTAAACATATGCTGTTCAATGTGGTTGCTGCGACACTATTGAGCACTTGAAGTGTGGCTGGTTCGACTAAATTACTGAGTTTTCAATTTTAAATAAGACTGAAATTGAACAGCACAATTCTGCAATGTGTTATAGTCATCTCTTTATCCTCAGCATTTAGGCTTGCCTCAGGAAAAAAAAAGTTTTAGGAAATATTTAAGTGACTATTTGAAAGCACCTAATGCCCTTTTGTTCACTGAATCTATTTTTGTAAAACTTCTTTTCATCCATTACCTCATTTGTGACTTTCAGGAAATTCTGTGATACACAGGACCTTTTTCTCAGTTTGTTGTAATAGGAAAGTAGGGTTGATAACTCTAAATGACTTGTTCAAGATTTTAAAGCCAGAAGAATGTCAGGTTATTCGTGCAACTAGATTTTTCCTTCTTTTGTCTTTTATTATCGTTTACCTAACAAAGTTCCTTTGTCCTCCTTAGCCCTTAGTGATCGCCACCACACTGAAATTCCCACAGCCTTCACAGAATTTGGCAGTTAGTGGACTTGTGAAAAATACATGTATGTTCATCTTTTTGCTTGTTGAGGTCATGGCTTCAAATGCTCAAATGTGAAAAATATTTTTGAAGCATGATTTCATGCGGTTTAATATTCTTATGGTACCCCCATCATATTTCTGGTATCAGTTCAGGGGGAGCAGAACAGTTCCATGCATTCTGCCAGCCTCTTAACCTCAAAGATTTCCTAGTTGTTTTTTTGTTTTGTTTTGTTTTTGCCTCTAGAACTTTTGTTAAACTCTAAAGGTCTGCCCGGCCCTGAGCAATCATCTCCAGGAAATGTGAGCATTCCAGGTAGGGGGTGGATAGTAAACCTTGATCAATGAAATGGAAATTAGGAAATAAATGTCCCAGCCTTCCAGTACCTCAGTGGGTCAGTAGCTGAGTCACACTGCAGGCAGTTCTTCAGAGGTCTCCAGTGAAATGAAGCACAGTTGTCTACTAAAGCAGTCAGCTCAATAGCATATCTTCCTTGGTTTGTTTCTCTGGCCCTTGCTTACACTCTCTACGTCAGTCACCCTGTTTCCTCTCAGACTATTAGTACCCAAGTCTTTGCCTCAGGCTCTGTCTTAGGGGTTCCCAAATAAGACCCTACCTATCACACAGCAAGCCCGTTAGAGAGCTGGTGCATTCTGTTTTCTGGCTGACTTCTAGCAGTTTCCTGCTTAGCGTCAACGCTGTGTACCTGACCTCCAGTCACATTCTTCCCTTCTTTTGCCTGGCTGACTCATTTATTCAAGACTCAGCTAGGTTGTCCGTCTGTCTGTGGAGTCTGATTAAACCTCCCTCCTCCCCACCAATTTATTTTTCCAACACTGTGTCTGGGAGCCTTTCAAACAGTTAACCTCTATTCAAGCGATTGCCTCTTGGCTTCTTTCAGCGAACCTGTTCAACAGAAGGGTCCTCCCTAGCAAAATCCAACATGAAGCGCTCAATAGAAGAGGTAAGAATGCGTAGGGGATGGCTTTCAGGAAATCAGTTTTTGTCTGGCACGTGTTAACGCACCACGCTGCACTTCGCAGTGGACAAAAGTGAAGGGATCCTGGCCAGGTGACAGGGAGCTCATGGCTCAGTGGTGAGGACAGAAGGAAAAAACGCCCCAGAGCACCGACTACTAGGAGGAACACAGGCACAGGGGGACGTGGGAGGGCAGAACTGGTCAGGGAAGTATAGGATTATACTCTAGCCTTAGGAAGTCCTGTGCTTCACTAGAAAAAGGTGGAAAAGCACAATCCAGGCACACAGAGGAACACTTACATTAGCAAAACAGAACAACCCAAAGGTCCTCTCTGCGTCTTTGGGTTGGTGGGTGCATAGCCGGTTCTCAGCGTATTTAAGTTGTAGTCATAAACTAGCACCTTCACACAGGCCAAACACGCCGTGGGGGCCCGTGGATGGGTGGGAGAAGGGCTGGGCAATCTACACACTTGTTTCAAGTCTCCAGAGTTGAGCAACGACCACAGAAACGACAGCTTCTGCCAGTCTCTGTGATCTGCACAGGAACTCCCCCTTGTGCAGCGGGAAAGTGCCGTCTGACACACCTGGCCCGGGCATCCCCAAAGCGGCTGAGCATGCTCAGTTGCTGGGACGCGCTGGCTCCGTGCGGAGGAGCAGCGCAGCTGGATGCAGCTCCCCGGCGCCCGGCCGCCGAAGGGCGTTCGCACCGCGGGGCGGGGCCTCGGCCGCACGCTCTCTGCCCGCGCGCCACGCGCCGACTGCCTGCGCGCCGCCGCCCGTTGCCCCGGCAACCGTCGTGCCGCGTCTTCCGGAGGGATCTCCTGTCAGCCGGCTGATCCCACCACCCGCTCCACCGCCTGGACCCGAGGTTTTCGCGAGTCCTCGGAAACTGAGGGACAGCAGAAATGGCGGAGCGGAACCAGACGGCGCCTGAGGCAGGTCTGTGGGGGCGGTCGCGTGGGGGAAGTCTGAGGTAACACGCCTGTCCTGGGCCTGAGGTGACTGGAGGGCAAGGCCCTAATTCCTGAGGAAACACCTCTCTATGAGTGGTGGGGCTCTGTGAGTGGTGGGGTTAGGGGTCAAGGGAGGTGTGCACCACTCCAGGTGAGTGGCCGGGCCTGGAGTCCTGGTATGGGGGGATGTGTGGGGAGTGTGCACGCTCTCAAGTGAGCACGAACCTGGAAGGGGGTGGGAGGCCAGGGAAGGTACAGTCAGGAGTACCTGGGGTGGGTGCTGATCCCAAGGAGCCTCTGCGTAATGGAGCCTCTGCCTGGGACGGATTCCTAAAGGGGCATGCTCTGGTGGGGCGGGACAAAGAGGAGCCTCTGGTTTTTGGGGAGGCAGGTGTGTGAGGCAAAGTGTGTTCCTTTGATTTCAGTGCCACAAAAAAGGCTTTTACAGAGTGTTTGTGTTTTGGGGTCACTTTCTGTCACAGAGAAAGTTTACAAATTCTTGGAGGAATTCTAAAAAATATATAGGAGGCTTGACAGGAGAGAGCTCCCCTCCCCCCCCCAATAAATCCCAGTTCTTGAAGTACTGTATCAAAGAAGGCCTAGGGCCTGAGTGTCAAAGATTGTTTGGGGTCAGTGATCTTGAAGGTCATTCAAAATTCCCAAAGGGTTCCTGTTCCTGTCACTGTGGCTGGAAGATGGTGTTTAAGGAGGCTGACAGGAAAAAAGATCCAGAGTCCTAGTCCCTTGTGAGTATGGCTAGGTTTAGAGTGTCTTGCAGGGTCTTAGAAGAAGGTAGGGGTTTGTACAATCCTGTGCCTAGAGGAGGAAGTTTTTCCTAATAGGCACTACAGACTGAAGAACTGGAGCTTCAGTACAAGGGATGGCATCCATGGGTTTGCAGAAAATCAGTGGCTTTTGAGATATTTGTGGTGTTGGTTATAGTGTGTGTGTCTGTGTGTGTGTACCTGGATTGAAAAACTTGAAAACTCTATGAAGCCAGCAGGAATGATTCAAAGTTTGATGGCTTCTGTTTTTTGCATGGCATCTGCAATTCTTCTACCAAGTTGCTCCTTTACTCATAGTTTTAGTTCCCTCAGGACATAAATATGTTTGTACCTTTGCCTATTTTTCCATTTAGGAAATATTTATTGAATGCTAACTATATGCCAGGACCAGGTTATACCCTGAGAATTCTGTTTGGTCCTTTCCTTCCCCCCACCCCATTTTTAAATCCTTGGAACATAGTATTTAATTGCTTGTATTGGTTAGTGTCCATTCCCTGCCACTAGAATGTGTTTCACTAAGTCTTCTTATTTTTTTTTTTTTTAATTTATCTAGTATTGTAACTAATCCATTCTATGGTCTCTGTAAAACTTTATTAAGTGAATAATGAAATGACCTGATATTATCTGGAAGATCTATTTCAGCTGAGCTTTGATGGAGATTGGACAAATGAAAGGAAGGACAAAGGGCAATATAGGTAGAGGAAAAAGCATATGCAAAGACCCTGAGGTGGGTAGAAACATGGTGTTGTGTTTAAGGAACTGATGTGAGAAAAACATGGGTGTGCGCAGGACTATGAGAGAACAGGTGAGCTGAAGCCAGATTTTACAGGACTATGTAGGCTGTAATAGGAATTTGGATAAAAATTCCAAGAACAGTAGTAAGTCTGAGGGCTCTTGAGTGGGAATCTGACATGATGAGAATCATTTAAATAATAATTCTGCTTTAAAGCAGAGAGCATGGAGGTCACAGGAGTAGACCCAGGGAGACTGGTTAGAAGGTGGCAATGGAGTTAGAGAAGGAGTTTTTAGATTCGCCGACCACCAGGGAAAGAATAACTCAAATGAATATATAAAATAATTTAGATGGCTGTTATTTCAAGGAACCATGGTCATGGGCTTCCCTTCCCCAGGCAGCAGACAGACAGACATGAAGGAGTGCAAAGGAAGAAGATCACGGAAGAGACAGGGAAGGGGCTTTTTAAACACTTCTTGACACGGAAGCCGAACGGGGGGGTTGCCTCAGCCCTTATTTGGTGGGGGGATATGGGTTTGTGCCCCTCATTGGTGCAACAGTGGTTGCACAGTGTGAGGGGCCCACCAGAATTCCCCTATCAGTCCTGGGTTTGGTTGGAAGCAAACTCTGCCTGCCTCCATTTACTGTGGTAACCATCAGAGTTGAAAAATACTTGGGAGATAAAAGTAATAGGTCCTTGAGGATGAGGGAGAAGGAAATATCAAAGACCACTTCTCGCTTTTTGACTTGGACATCAGAATAGTTGAGGGCATTGCTGAGATGCAAAGTGTTAGAACTGAGAGGGAAGATCATGAGTTTTGATTTGGATAAATAGAATGTGAATTTTCTTTTGAATCTCCAAATACGCAGATAGGCTGACAAAGTATTTGTGTTTATAAGCAGTGTTCCAACTCACTTAGAGTTAATTACTGAAACATGGGGGTCAGTGATTCTCTCTAAAGGTAGGAGAGGCCTAGGTTGATGAAGTGAATAGCTGCAATGTTTCAGTGCCTTCTCAGAATGTAAAGATCCAACCAGAGCATTAGAGTTAACCCAATAATAAATGGAATATGCGATAGACTGAATGTTGCCAGCTAATGCAGAATATGGAATGGAAAACTAGATTTAGGAATAAGGAGGTCATATCACTCTTGAGGAAAGAAAGTTGTTGATGGTGAAAAGGTCATTTGACTATGCAATCACGGGTAACTAGCTCAATCTTTGTTTCTTAATTCAGATTTCCAAAAGTAGAATTTTGTTGACAGTCTTTATCTAATCACTGGATTGCTGGATCACAATTCAGTGTTAGAACTGACTTTTTATTTGGGTATCCAGCTATTGCTGGCTGGAGTAACCTGATACAATACATGGCCTTGTGGTGATTTTTCATGTCAGTGTTAATAGGTAATGGTGATGGAGTGTTTATTCTGTGACTTGTGTTATTCTAAGTGCTTAATATGTTTTAATCACTTTAACCTCGTAATGACTCTGACATTTTATATTTGGAGAAAATTTTGGCACAGAAAAGTTGAACAACTTGCTCAAATCCGTAAAGAATTCATATAAAATTTAGTCTTTCAGGTTGTTTGATTTGGCTGTTTGTATTGCAACTTACCATATGCTGAAGAAACCATAGCCATGATGAAACTTCTTGCCCTACAGATTCTATTCTAAGCCAAGCATATTTTAGTAAGATAATGTGGGAAAAAAACTGGAGCTCCAATACTTGTATAAATCCTGTTTTGTGACTTTATTAGATTAGACTTTGTGCACAACTTTTCTGATCTTCAGCTTCCTCATATGTAAGATGTGGATCATATTACAGGGTGAGTGTGAATGTTAGAAATGAAATACTCAAAGTGCCCAATAAATTTTATTTGCTTAGTTCAGTTGAAGCTTGAATATGAAATTTTCAAATATATTTTATATACTTTTACATAAAAACGTGAGATTTAAACACAGAATGATGGATGTGAAGTGTTGTTTTTCCACTGTCACAACCGTTTTTGTTACCAGCAGAAAGGCAGACAGTAACATTTAGTGAATGTAGAAGTATCTGAATGATCTGACATGGGACCCATTGTTGTGTGACCTACATGTCAATAAATTTCTTCATGGAGTAAAGGGATTTTTAATAGATCTGTAAGGAGAGTTGCCAAAGGAAGTTGTTTCTTTTAGATCTTGTGTTTTAAAATGTGGAATGCAAGATATGAATTTACTCTCATGGAAATATTACTGTTAATAATAATGAAAAAGAAAACATTGTAGTTAACTAAATGTAGCAATGCTACCTCAAACTTGATCACAGTTGCTCCACTTTTTCAGCTTCTTTTCCCTTCTTTCCAATAAGCGTAATGTAAGGTTTTGTATGAATTACTTGTTAAGAAGCCTGTTTTCCCAATGTGGTAACTGATAATTAGTTACACTGAGACAGAGAAAGAGAAAGAGAGAGAGAGAGAGAAAGAGAGAGAGAGTTGAGAGATGTTCTATCTGATTCTATCTGGTTTACTCCCCCAAATGGCTACAATGGCCAGGGCTGAGTCAGGCTGAAGCCAGGAACCTGAAGCTTCTTTTGGATCTCCCTTGTAGGTTCAGGAGCCCGAGCAGGTGGGCCATTGCCTGCTGCTTTCCCAGGCACTTTAGCAGGGAGTTGATCACAAGTGGAGCACCTGGGTTTTGAACCAGCACCCATATAGCATATTGGTGTTCCAGGTGGCAGCTTTACCCACTCCCCCACCATGCCAGCCCCTGCAATTATGTCTTTAGAATAAAGAACATGTAAAAATTTGCTTCACTTTTTGTGTGAAATAAATGCTTTTATTTTTTAAATTATTATTTGAAAGATTTACAGAGAGAAGAAGAAGACCGAGAGAGAGAGAGAGAGAGAGAGAGAGAGAAAGAGAGAGAGAGAGAGAGGGAGAGAGAGAGAAAGGACTCTTTCATCCCCTGGTTCACTCCTCAGTCTGAAGCTGGGAACCAGGAACTTCTCTCATATGGGTTCAGGGGCCCAAGCATGGAGCTGGAATGGAAGTAGAGCAAGGACTTGAAACAGTGCCCACATGGATGCTGATGCCACAGGTGAAGGATTAGCTTGCTGTGCCACTGTGCTAGTCCTGTAAATGAATTTTTTTTTTTAAAAAACATGCAATTCTATAAATGTTGACGTTTGAAGGACTTTAGCAATGAGAGTAGTTTTGGTATGTTAATAATAGGCAAAACTTTTTTTTTTTTTAAGTCTCTTACTTTCACAACTGGAGTTGTAAAAGCTACCTTTCAGATGAGAATTAGAGATAAAATATGAAATGTACATAATGTTTTACACCCCCGAGGAATAACAGCTTAATTGATACATGCAAGCGTGTTGGGGGGAGGGTTGGGTTATGTAAGTGGGAATGTATAAGAGTATGTATAAAGAGTTAGTGGTGAAATCACATTTAAAAGAACACAGTTTTGTTCCTTATTTGGCAA